CCCCAAAACCCCAAAACCCCGCTTGAAACTATAAAGTAAATTTGAGTTCTTTAATCATTTGAGAATTGATAATTAATTTATTCAAGAATTTCTTTTAATTAAAATAGAGTTTAGATAATCAAGTTATTAATGCCTCAAATTGAGTTTGATTATTATAATAAATTAATAGATTTATAAAGATTCTAACTTATTCAAAGTTTCTCAAAAAATGGATCAATATCAAGCAAGCAGCGATGAGAATTTCATCAATATTTCTAAGAGAGATTATGAAAATTAAAAATCTGTTTTAACAAACGATAATAAAAAAGTTGAGATAATTGATGCAACAAATTTTAAATAAAATTAATAAGTAAACCTTGAATAGGAAAAATGTCATGATGAGACAGATAAAGTTACTCAAGATGATGATCAAGATTTCTTGTCACCTTTTGTTCGATAGTACTCGAGAAAGTTAGGAGTTGAATAATTATTGTCAAAAGACGATTCAGACTTTAATAATATAAGATTTCTGCTTAAAGAATATGCATTTAAACTTCTTTACTCATTTCCAAGATTTACTCATTCCATAGAGAGTCAAATAAATAATAAGTAATCTAATGAAGAATTTAAGGATACAGATTGCTAATTTTAACCTTAGTCAATATCAAATTTTGAATAAGATAAGAATTTTAAATAAATTAGAGAGGATAATGAAAAGAAAATTATAAATACTTAAAACTGTATCAGATTATCTAATCTTTCAAAGAGAGAAGTTTTGCTCAATAGAAACTAGCATATCATAGATAGAATATTTTACCGTAAGCTTGATAAAAACTTAATAGAATAGTTAGAAATAAAACATGATGTAGCAATAATATATAATTATGAATTGTTTTACATTCTTGGTAATAATAGTAATATTATTAATCTTATATATAGGTAGAGATCCTTTAGTAAATTTGTAAGTTGAATAAGAACTACTTGCTAATCTTAAAAAGTTAAAAAAGGACTTGCTAGTTGAAATTTAAATAACTGATTAAGACTAAATTTATTCAATTTAAAAGAAAGGTTTCTTAAATTGGGAAAAGGAGGCGTATGTAAAACTAAATAGTAATCAAATTGATAAAAAGGTCTAGAAAACAATTCATAAGTAAGTAAAGGTTAAAGTAAACTAATAAAAAGAGTCTCAAAACAAAGCATATCGATGGCTATACAAAGTGTTTTAATCGGACTCTAATTATGCTACTCGAACTAGAAAAAAAGATGATTTTACTGATTGTGATGAAATTACAACCGAATTAATTCAATCATTTTATAAAAAATGTGTTGAGGCAGGTAGCTTCGGTTAAAAGTATTAATATATAGGAAATAATGGCTTTACCTATAATATCTACGGATGTAGTCGCAATCCTATAGAATGGTTTTAAGTCAATATGTCTACAAATACGATAAGAAGACTTAGCAGAAGGATCATAAAGAAATAGAAGAAAAAGAAGCAAAATAATTAGGTCAATTATGTTATGCAGATGCAGACAGAAGTTATATTTGAGAACATAAAACAAAATGTAATATCTTGCAAAGGTTTAAAAGATGATTTAGAATCTTTTATAAAAAATTTGAAAGCTTTCTCTATTAAACTTCAGGAAGAGATCCTTGACTTAAATCTTTTTCAAAATATGACATTTTCAACTTTTAAATTAGAACTTTAAACAGATTTTGATAATTTTATTGGGGCATAGTTTTATTCTTTTGAAAGTGATAATAAAATAAAATTTTATGGATCTTCATCTTCATAAAACAGAAATTATGCCTTTGAATTGTTAAATAATCTAAATAAGATAAATTTTCCAAGCTATTGGGAAGAATAAGTTAGAACTATTAAGTGTAATCATGGTTTGGAAAAATTTGTTGTTGATAAAGAGTCAAAGAAATTCAAAGATAACAAGCAATAATTAAGCTTTAAATAATAATTTAAACTTAGTCAGAATACTAATTTAATTAACACATTGAGATCAAATCAATTTTTAGTCAGTAAAAGCAAACAAAAACCTGATAAAATAAGTTGGATCTAATAATAATAAAAGAAAGAGTTTGATGTGGACATAGAATGAGAATAAATACAATGAAAACGAATTCAAACCTATATAGAATCTGAAAGCGAATGGCTTGAAAGAATGACTTGAAACAGAAAGAATGTTAAAAGCATAGATATTAATACTACTGGATCAGGTTTACCTTATCAAAGGTTAAAGTTCTATCATTCAAGAAATATGATTGTCTCTACTGGATGTAATAAATACTATTATTATTTATTATTCTTGCTAAATTTAATTTCTTTATTTTTCTTGATTTTATTTTATTCAGCAAACTCGGGGTTTTGGGGTTTTGGGGTTTTGGGGTTTTGGGG